TTCCGATGAGAGAATTATTTGATCGATCCGGTGCTTTGAGTTCATCGTAATCGTACGTGCAGCATCGGCGGTACTTGCGTTTTAACGCGCGTGACATTTAATAAATCGGAACAATGGAAACGCGCAGTAACTATTCAACTTTTACTGATGATGTAAAAATTTTCACACGTTTACTCACTGCGCAATGGAAATCCAATAGCGGGGAAAAAATTAGAAATTTATGTTTCGATGATGTTTTCAGTAAGTTGATGGAATAATTGATTCATTATCGATCATGTTTTTTATTTATTACGTAGATATGTTGTGGGAATGCGTAAAATATGCGCGGATTGTGTAGACATGTGGCTAGCACACAGGCATCTTCGTTTTTTATTGTGTGTGCGGCGGTGATTTCGCTTTCTTTTCGTGTTGAACGCGCAGCTTTTTCAATTACACGCGATTCGCGGTGAAAACGGAAGAAAATGTGTTTTATTTGTTCCGCGAAGCGAACCAATTGATAACTACAATGATTTTACGATGGAGAATTACTCAATGACGAAATTCGTGTGATGAAAATTACACTTTAAACACTGGCAAACATCAAATATCGAAATTAATTTGTTTTGCTTGTTGTTTTTTTCGAGATTATTTTTATTACTTATGATAGTTTACTTTCTATTACTCTCGAGTTTCTGCCGGTGGATTAACGGCATAAGTGCGTTCGCAGATAACGCGCTAATTAATATTTTGTACTGCGTTAATTAATGAGATAACCCGCCGGCGTGTCGCCGATGTGTGAATATAATTGTTTTGCGCAACAGCAGCCGAACGGAAAACCGATGCTTTTTTTTATGATTATTGCACGCACGACGCACTTATCTCACCGCACGCATAACGAAATATCTAATTCTCACACGTTTCGGTATTGTAATCTAGTGGCAAATTAGTCAAAATGCAGAAAATCAACATTTTGACGCCGCACGCACATATCTCGCATGCGTAACTCTATGAAACACTAAATGGAAATAATTCTGCACTACGCCCATGTTCAATATGCAACAATGTAATCTGTTCTTACTCGTAAACATATTTTATTTCTATCTATCAACATTTTGAAATTTTACGACAAATTAATCGCGCGCTAAACGTATGTTTAGAACTTATTAACAACTTTCTTATTCTCGGCGCGGATTAGGAGTATTTTTATCGTCGCTGATTTCAAATTCTTGGCTACTGTTTTAACGACCCGTTTGTGTGGCGGCTGGACGCCCGAAGTGATTAAAAATATATTAATTGCAATTCATGTCGCATATGAAAATTACGTAGGTACGGCCAGCCGGCGAAAATCTGAAATTAATAATAGAAGCGTTGAATATTCATGTTAGCGCGCGCAGAGTCGCGCTGAGACAACGGCGTAAGACAGGTAGCTGTGTAGATTTCGATAAAATTGCAATAAAACTATGACCGGGCCGTTAACAATGTAATTAATCAGCGAATGCTTTACGAGCTTTCCAAGCAACTGCGTTGCGCTTATGCGATTGATTAATGGAACTATAAAGTTTTTTTTGTGTAAGCGCAACTACAAAATTATATCATGGTAAATTCTTGTTGATGGAAAGGTATTTGAAGTATTAATGAATATTTTTTTATTTTATTATAACTGGTGTAATATACAAGTAGGATACTATATTTTATACACTATAAGTTGCTCCGGAAAATATTTACATTGTGCTTTTGTGTGCAAATTGTAGTTTTGCATATTTTGACGTAAATACTCTTTGTTTTTACTTAATTTATATTAAATTCTTGTAGTTTTTGAGTCTAAATTATTCAAAATATTAAAAAATATTTTTTTTCTATTTCCATTTTTAAAGGGCCAGTTTTTCTTGTTCTGAGGCACAAAAAGTAGTACTTTAATCACGGACAGCCAAAGTCGTGACTAAAGTACCTATTTTATATTTAACATTTTATACTTGATACTTGATATAATAGTAAAATAAATTTTAAATTAAGTTTGGAGAAAGTTTTTAGCAGTTTTAACGCTTTTGTCATGAAAATTTGAATAATTCGTGCAAACTAATAGACTTTTTAAACTTTTTTCTGCATAATTCAAAAAAGAGTTGTTCTTTTACTAGGAATACGTGACAACTATAAATAGCACCTTAAACTAACCTTAAACTGCTTCTAAAGCAACGTCTTACATAGTAATAATAATTTTTAATAATAAGCCAACATTAAACATAACATAACTCAAAGCTTCTGCGAATAAAACATTTAACAAAGTAACTACACAGTTAATAAACAAGAATAATGTACCTACAACGACTTTATTTTACTTAATATATGTTTAATTATATTCATATTCTGATTTCTAGAGGCTTAAACATGCAATCAACAATAAACAATAATAGACAGCTGGCGTACGCCATAAAAGCTGATTAAAACATACAAAATAACCGAGTGAAACAACGTAATCGCTTTTTTGTTGTTATTTCTTCTTTTATTTTATGATTAATTTTTTATTTTATTATTGTTTCACATTCATTGTGCCTGTGCGCTTGTACGAGCGCGCCGACACACAATAATGTAATGAATATGCAAACACGGCAGTAATTATATTTACGCCCGTATTTACATTATCATTAACATTTATATTCTATATTTTATATTTAGAAATCTAAATTTTTAAGAGCCGCAGCAAAGCGCAGTTTAAGTCGCACGCAATCTGCATAAAATCAACGCGAAACGAACGCGAAATAATAGGAATAGAATTAAATCCCGTCGACAGGTTAATAACACAATTAAGATACTGGTGTGCTCTATTCACGCATGCGTGCATTACCTAATTAATCGACGTCTGGCCGCCTCAACTCGCCTCACCTCAGTTCATTCATTCTTTTAAGTTTTAATTTTTTTGGTTTGGTTTTGCGTCCAAATTTAATTAAATGCTTGGCACATTTTATTTCGACTTTAATTACATTTGAAATACAAGTGATACGTTAAATTAAAATAAGTCTTAATTGCCTACGGCGGTTGTGGAATCGTAAAGAAAATCTTATTTATTATGTCGCGTGTTTATTCTAAACACAGCCACACAATGTGCATTGATGCGCGGCGTGCAGTGCAACATCCACGATGTTTGTTTATTTATGATCATCGCCGAGAGTCTCGATCGTGTCTGTGTCGAGCGAAGAAGAGAAAAAAAAAAACGTGCGACGCGAATAAAAGCTCGTAAATTACGAATCAATGCACCCCATGCCGAGGCGGAACAAAGCGCCAAGACGTGAAGAGCGTCATCTCATCGACGCTGCATCGGCGAACGTATAATTAATGTTAATTACAGCGTTATTAATGGACGGATAATGTAATTAACAATAACAATGCAACGAAAGTAATTAATTTATAGTCACCAGGTGTCGCCATCTACAGTTAGAATATGAACTAGTTACAAATTAAAATAAAACAGTTGGTATCACTGCTATGTAGCGGAATTTAACATAACCTAATTTATAAAAAAAATTAAAACTAAAAAATGTTTGTGAAATTTATTAAAATGATTAAAAGACAGCTCAATAATGTGAAGTAATTAAACCTCTCGCAGGTTGTAACGAAGGCAAATAGAAAATCAAAAGCCTAAATGAGAATCCTTCGGCGGAGGATGATGGACGACGCCGAGTGGATTTTTGCGCGCGGCGGCGAAGTTAAGTCGTCGCTTAATGATGTTTGAATGATATGTATAAACAAAAACGTATTTGCATTCCCATTCGCGGACGAGCGCCGAGTATTATCAACGACCTGTCAAATGCTATGAAGTTTACACAGAGTGTTTCAATTTGCGCGTGTGAATTTATTAATTTTAAACCTAATTTAATTTTGCGTTTTATGTGCAGTCACATTATGTTGGCGCAGGTACGCCTTGTGTTGGATCGAAGACAGTTTGGCGAATGCGGCTGGAAGACAATATGATTAATTGTAATTGCAGGTGTGAGTGCAATTGTAATTCTAATTGCGATCGTAATTATTATTGTCGTGCGCGCGCGCGCGGCCGAGTCTTGTGTGAGCACTTGTGAATTAAGATGGACGTGGGCTTTTGCGCAGAGGTGCAAATATTTTCCACGCATTCTTCTTCCCATGCGTGCATGCGCGCTCGGCGGAAAAATTTCAAGTTTCCTTGCGAGTTTTGAACAAGTTTCATTCAAGCGCAAAATCATGATTTCTTCATTTCGATGTTAGGAATGAAGAAACAATCATATGCGTTGTCCTTTTACGTCGTCGGTCGTTGATTTTGACAGCTATTAAGTTCTTTAGAAGTCCTTAAAATCTGCTTGGAAAGTGCTTAGGATTTTTTTGAAATTTTATAAGAAAAAATATGGAAAATAGTATTGCGTGCTTGAGGTAAGTAAAGATTGACTGTGGAATCTTTAAGATACACTTGATAACGCGTTGGAGATGGAAATTATGATTACGATTATGATTATCATTGCGATATGTGTGTTTTTTATATTTAATTTTATTATCGTCGGAGATGATTGCGTGCGTGCACGAAAGATGTCGTTTGGAGGAATAAATTGTATGTTTGAATAAATTCCAAGAAATATTTCTTTGATAATAATTATTAAATTGCATTAAAACAAACTTTTTAAATATAAAATTTAAAAAATAATTTAATATTGATTTTAAAAATGTTTTTATTAATGTAAAAACATAGAAAATATAAAATTTATTGTAACACCTTGTATAGCAATTGGAATTTGATATGCGTTATGCTATCAGACGTAAAATTGAAAACGTTGAAGAAATAGAAAAATGTTAGTTTGACCACGGCAATAAGGAAAGAACGCCGAGGCACTTTTGCCTCATACTCATGTTTGATGAACACGCAAAAGCGATTAGTGAATAATTGGAAATATTTCACGTATTTTACGAGAATTTCGTTTCGTTTACCCACTTGAATTAATAAATATTTGCATGCAACTCAAAATATCACAAAAAAATAACCAACTTTTTTATTTTTGTTTTAGGCATGACGGATTTCTTCATTCATCGAGTCTATCAAACCAACAACAACGTAAGTTATGTTTCCTTGTCACTATTACAAGTTTCGCTAAAATTTGTGTTATATATTTTATCCGGAATTGCTAGCTATTAATACGAATTGGTTTATAAATCTAAATCGTCGCGCGGTGGCATGTTCGCTGCAAACATCGTTAAAATCTCTCGAAACCTTGAATCGGCAATCAGCATAATAAGTTCGCAAAGCATCCGTGTCTCCGGCATGTCTCGGCGGGATATTTTATTATTTCGCGTTGGTAGTGCCGTACTCTCTTGCGCCGCCGCACAGGTGTAATTTATGAGAAATGCAAAGTCAAGTGCAGCGTGCTGAATGCAAATGCAATGCGTCGTGTAATAAAAATATCTCCTACAATACATTAAATTACGGTAGTAGTACATTGCGCAAAAAAACTCACTTCCGTTACGTTACATGCCACCATTTCAGATGACGTCATATTTTTTTAGTGAATATTTACGAAATTGATTAAATTTTGCTGTTTTTGTGGTTTAATTTTTTTTCTTCGCGTTTATTTTTTCCATACCAGTTTGGAAAAAATCTCGTTTGACAAGACATTATTTTCTCCTCTGACGCGTTGTCAGTTCGTTTAACAACCGTTCAGTGTTGCAATTAAACTCCGTTTCTTCATGCTCATCCAGCTCGCATCTTGATCTCTTCGCATTTCGCTCTGCGCTCCACACTGGCCCATCAACAGATGAATTTTTTCACATGTGCATGCTTTTTTTCGCAACTCACTTATTGTAAAAAGATCGAATACTTAATATTTTTAAATTAAATTTTGACTAATTATCAGCGCGCAACTAGTGCGGCTCGAATGGCTGCGTGGCTCTCCCATCCCATGCGGCGTATTTATTAATGTAAATAATTAACAACACAGTTAATTACGCCAGCGAGACACAAGAGGCAGGCCGCAACCCAAGGACTTGATCCGAATTAAATATTAACGCGCATTAAACGAGAACACACACTTTTATGAGCGCGCCTGCGAGTTTGGGAGCTAATCAGCTCGTTAAACAACGTTAGAGGAACGTGTAATTACTTCATTTTTAACTTTTAACAGGATGTTCCGCAATTAATTATTGAATTTAAGCATGAAAACTGAAATTATTAAAATTACCTGATTAGATATTTTGTTTGGGGAAAACAGTGTTTAATTTTCAGCATGTTCATATTTAACAGCTGTTTAATCATCGGCATCGCATTACTAATTAAGATAAGAACGATTTAAGTGTTATTGACGCGCGAGGAGAGGATGTAATTACATGTCCGGTTTTTCGATGATTCGATTTTCGTACGCTTTCATCAAGATTTCGCCGCGACTGCGACTCTTCTTCTTTGCTATTAATACTCATTAAAAACAAGTTTCGTGTTAAATAAATTGCGTCCAAATTGCATTATAATTACAGAGTCTTTGACTCTTTGCGTTAAAGCGTGAATTTATTCTTCGTAAAGTACACAAATCCGCTTGGAAATTAATTTAAATTATGAAAACTTCTCCGCTCGCTAGATTTTTCTCCATTTGTTATATTCTATAATTAACAGTACATGTGTAATCAATCACTGCGTGTGCACTTGAGATAAATTAATTTTTGGGCCGAAGGTAATTGTGGTTTAATTGGATGGTATCATGTGAGGTACAGAAGCCGCAATGTAAACGCATCCTAAACGAAATCATAAACCATCATACTTGCCGGCGCGTTTGTTGTTAAGTGAAGAAGCGGTGAACAAATGAGCAGTGCAGCATAGGAAAATAATTAGACCGCCGGTAGCCAACGCAGCGGGCAGAGAACAAAGCGCTCGCGATGTTATTGTTTAAATATTGCAACGCGAACTGTAATTACAATTATCGCGCGCACCCGTCAAAGATCCATGAGTAATTATCCTAAGAAGCAATGTTATAAAATTTATAATTAATATTAATTTACGATGGAAAGAAAATTTATTTTCTACGAAAATATTTTACACGTGTTATTTTAATTTATTCTGGTAAAATTTATTGAAAAAAAAATTCAACGTCTTGTCGTCTAATTTTGTTGCTTGTGGCTCTGGGCACGTTGGTCACGCTCTAAATTTTTATTTAAATTCCTCTAATAATCACAAAAGCGCCGATTCATCAATCAATTCGTCCGCACCACGTCCGATAATAAATTCCACACAAAGAAAGAAGAATGTGGCGAAAAAATAAAATAAAACACACATCAAAATTTTAATTTGTGCTCTCGATCAGCACAAGTTGCGTTGTTTCAACATAAAATTCAATTTCGTCTTTGCTTGTACAGTTATCAGTCGGGCAAATCGAATTAAATGTTTTCTACTCATAATTTCCTCCTCGGAATTAATTTAATGCCTTATAATAAGATAATGACACTCACTGAGTAAAAGTTAATCATCTGCGTAAGTTTTATATCACATTGATTGTGTTATTGTATAATAAAATTCTCGTGATTTCAATCCGAATGTGTGTGTGTCTATGAAGTAGTAGAGTGGCAGAGTGCCATGATTGTGTCGCCGGATAACGATCGTAGATCGGCGAAGAATATACGCGATGATAATGCGGTTAGCGCGCCGCGTGAGGAATTTTTCGAGGAGCCGTGTAATCAAAAATTATATGCCGTGAGAGATCGTTTACGATACGATTTTGGCCGCTGATAGAAGAAGGCATAACACCTGACATGCCTACTTTGTGTTGTAAAATCCTGCCTGCTGCTATCGCCGGCGATAGTCGTTAAAAGTTTAGGAGAGTTTTAAAGTTTCGATTGAAATCGGCTGGTGTATGAATAATGTAACTGCTAACTACCGATATTATTGAATAAAAGTGCGCGTACGTTGCCTGCATGTAGGTAAAATGATGAGAAACTAAAAATTTACGGCGGAGACAAAGATTATTCGTGTGATAACCCTGAGAATCGATGTAAATTGATACTGATATTGTTAAACTATAAGATTTTATGTGTGCGTATCAAATTTGCGCTATTTACTTATTAGTTTATTAAAGTATTCAACAGGTGTCGCTACGTGTCTCAAATTTTCGTTATTTTATTATTAATTGATAATTTTTATTTTTTACGTTTTTTTTTTCATGTGGCATCACACAGAGTTGAATGCTGAAAGTTGTTCATCTTAAGTGCATCTTTCTGTAATGTCGGTAATGCAAGTAATTAACATTTACGTTTTTTTTTCTGCGTTGCAGTGCGTGCATAACGAGCGCAATAAATAACGCAAAGCGCATCGGCGATTGGGCAACGTGCAGACGCTGCACTGCGTATTCGCATCGCTTATCATAATAATTTCATAGTTTCAAGCTGGACAAGCTACGTGCGTTTGGAAAAAGTATGAGATATGGCAGATATTAATATTAATTAACAAAATATGTCGATTTTGGTCGTTTATTAATTATTATCTGCATGCAACGCGTTGAAAATTGAAAATTATTTGAAAATAAACAAGGAAAATTTGTGTTTTGTGTTTAATTAAAATTCACTTCAATGTTTATTTACTAGAATAAATATATTGATGGATTTTTATTGTGTGTAGAGTCTTGTGGTTTTGTAGATAAAGCAAACAGTTTTTATCAACAACACAAAGTTATCAATCAAAACATTGAAGAAACACGCACAGAATAACACTAAGTGAATATTTACAGTGCAATTCGAGTATACGACTCGAATTTTTATTTTTAATACCTAGAAATCGAATTATAAATGGAATAATTATGTTAGTATTGATTTTTTTATTTAATAATTTTTATTTTAAACTGTGCAGACAATAGAACGGTATTTTGTATTCTAAATAGAAGTTATTGTGCGTGGCAGGTTGTAAATTAGTTGTAAAATTTTTACGATAATTGCGTGCGTTTGCCGTGGCACGCTCGCGTTTCGAAAATTTCTTAATACGTCGCCGCCGACGACTAGAAACCACAATGTTAAATGAGTCGAATTTTACGGCCGGAATTCGTTAACCGAAATTAATTCACGCATTAGGAGAGCAAAACTTCTTCCAGCGCCGCAGTCACAAGTCACAACACAGCCGTAAATCGACGAAATTAATTTAAATTGGTTGATATATTCGTGACGATGTAACTTGTATTGTTAGAGTCATTAATTAAAAACTATATTAACATTTGCATTAAAAACTATACTCGTAAGTTAATTAAGTTGTGATATAATTTCGATAAAAATATAATTTTACAATGAATTATTATTTTATTCAGTATAGAATTAATTTTTGAGGTTTGGAAAATTTTTGATTAAAAGTTGATTAGTTTTTTGAATAATTACGAAATTATCACTCAGAGTATTTAATATCCCATGATTCCAAATAAGGACTCACTCTGCATCAAAAAATATTTTATGCCTTTTGTTAATTCAACCCGACATGCTCGATAAAAATAATTTTACACAAATGGCGCTGGAATATAAATAAATATAAATAATAAACTTTCGAAAAAAATTAATGTCTCTATCAATTAATCGTGCAGTTTTGTTTCGTCTTTCTTTCGTTGTCTAAATATGATGTATTCAAATTGCCAGCTATAGCCATAAATAATCTGCTAAATGTTTTGTCTTCTGCTTTTTTCTTTCTTTCGCTTGTATTGTGGTCAGTTGTGTGTTTATTTTAATTTGACTTTCAAATATTGAACATTTTATGTTTTTATTTTCTCGTGCGTGTCAGCAGTGCGTAGACAAACGCGTCGGATCGTGTCGACTCTGTGTGTACATGTATGCATGAGCTGTGATCGAAGCCGGTTCTATGGACAGGAAGCTTTTTTACGACTTTTTCGCGAGTCACGCAGCGCGCACGGAGACTTTCTTGCCTCGGAAACCGACAAAATTCGCCCCGAAAACGCCGGGGAGTCATAAAAATTAATCAAGCCTGCTTTACATGCGGCGCTAGAAACATTCAACTTATATTCATATACGAAATTTATTAAATTTAATAATAAAACTCGAAAGTTTGTTATAAATTTTAAAAGTTTGATTTTACGCACATTTACGCGCGTTTAAAACTTCTATTTTTTTGTATCAAATGATTATTAAGTTGCCAAATTGTTTTATGGATGGTTTATGACTTAAGTAAAGAGTAGATACTTAAATCAAGATAGCATTTGCAACGAGATTATTTCAACTCGAGACAAAACACGTGCTCATAACTAATATTTTTTGTAGTAAAACATTAACACTTTGCAATTATCATAATTATATATTTATTTTTTGCGCATTACTAACATTTATATTACAAAATAAAAATGTTAAACATTTTACGTTTCCATCTCGCTGGTGCATTGAACTATTGAATTTATGATCCGTTTGTAATTAAATGTGTAAAATGACATTTATGCGCACTACCGTACGAAAATTTATATCTAAACAGCCAAATTAGAAAATAACATTGTTGCAGATGCATAATTCTATATTGAAAGCGAAAAGTTTCACAACGTCTGCGACTTTAAGGCCAAAACGAATAAATTTGTAATATATCCTTCAAATAAAACTTATTTTATTGTATTTCAGAGCTGGTAGAAACCATTCGAAATGTACTAGATGCAAATATAGCCGTAATTACAAATTCCAACAATTAAACAACAATAATAACCATCGAACAAAATCCCATTTACACTGGAATTATTATTGCCCATGTGCAGCAGCATTCGCTAATTTGCAATAAAATCAGATGCAAATCAAAGTTTTACAGTAAACCGAAATGTTTGCGAAACGCTGCATGCGGCAACGTGTTTCTTATTTTTTCTTTAATTCTCCAGCATCGGTAATTGTCTCGTCTCGATCATTAGTAATTGTAATTATTCGAAACGTTTACACACGATCATAACTTCCAATTATTATCTCCGCACACTACGTTGCAAGCTGCGCGCAAACTTCTAACATTTCAACGAATTGCAATTAAGTCTTAAACATTATGATCCAATCCGCGGCGATGGATGCTTGAATCCGTCGTGTCGATACTGCTTATTTGAGTAATTTCGAGAGAGTTGTGGACATGTGGCTATTACTACTGCTGACAATTAAACTAATTAATGCATTTGGGTACTGTTTTCATTACAATCTCAAGCTGTTTCTTGTCACTATATCACTATTTATTGATTTTTGATATTTTTTTAAATTCAACTTTTACATTTCTAAGTAGAAATACCAATTAATTATTTTACTAATTATTGCGGTAAATTATTTCAATTGCCACACGATTGAAATGAATTTTTCTAGGTTGGTTGAATTTGCTATAACCTTGACAATGTCTCGGCTATTAATTTCTTAAGATTTCCACATGATTTGTCACACAAGTTGCCATTCGCAACGACCTAGAGCCGCGCGCGCTGTATCCGGAAGTGTACTTTACCCAAGAATGTAAGAATTCGCTCGGCGCGACGTGCGCAAGAAGTGAGGCAAGGACTCAAGGACTTTTATTTCATACGCGGAACACGAACACACCGGCTTGAGTTTTGCGGTCTACGGCACGAAAACCGCCGACGGACGGACGGTAAAAGCAGCCTCGCCGGCTTTAGTTGGCATGGCTTCAGATGTAATTATGTTAAGTAGCCGGCGAGTGCGCAATGTTGCGTGCCATAACATAAGATAGAGTGTTGGCAAAACATCAAAACCTCAAAAAAATCATCATTTATAAAAATTTCTACAAATTTATCTAAAGATTTTGCGCTTTAAGTGGCGCCATCTATGAATTAATAGTTTTTAAACTGTCATTATGATTAATATGTGTTTTAACATATTATTTTAATAATATTTTGACGTGCAGTGTGAATGGATGCTTTAATAAAATGTTTAAATTGGAGTAAACTTCACGTGCCGCGCTCGATACTCGCTTATTAACGCGCGCAGCGCACCTGCTTACGTAATCATAGTGCACGTATTAATTTCTAATTACGAGCGGAATATTTTCCATGTAGGAAGGCGCGAATTTACATCGGCTAATTAACTATTATTAAAATTACATACGCGCTAAATTCTACTCATATGCCGGTTAAAATAAAGTTTAATTTTGACACCTGTTGTTCACCAATGCACTTTACATCTAAATAACCACATTGTCTTAGGTTTCAACCTCCTGACAGACCGCATTCTTGAATACATAATTTAATACCGACTTAATTATTGACTTTGATATCTCGGGAAAAATCGATTGATTGATTGACCTTATCCACGCCGGAGACCGAATAAAGTTATTGGCATTGGACGCTTGATAATTTTATGCATAAATATGCATAATGTGTATAATTTCATTCAAGAAATTGTCCTAGGTTAGGTGGATTTTTATATCTGTAGGTGTTTAGAATGAAAATATTATGAAAATATTCCCCCTGGGGTATGATCGGTGGAAAAAGGTGTTAGAAATGTAAGAAATGTGCGCGCTGCTCCCGATGGACGATAATGAAAAAGGTGCCGCCGGGTTCCCAGCATAGTTTCGCGGCGAGATGGTAAGCAAATATGCGCGCGCGCGGCTCTTGTTCGCCGCTCTTGAGGCACGGCCGCCGCCGCTTGAGATGTGCATGCTCCAATTCCCAGCCACAATGTGTAACAGATACGCGCGCGCGCAGTCCGCGAACAGAAGAAGTCACAGGTTGCTCCGTTGGCTGAGTAAAGGCGGACATTTGAGCTTGAAAAAAGTTTTAAAACTAAAACCTGCCAGTTCCAGGTGATGTCTCGTCACATGGATATGTATACAACAGGTGCATTTCTTAGATTCTCCCAAAGAAACGTGAGAAATTCAATTTTTACAAAAACTTTCATTTGCTGTAAAATTAAAATTTTAAATTTTAAATGATTTTTTTTTGTTGGCTCATTACTTTGACGGTAAATGTCAATAAAAAGCCCCCCGAAAAATGCAATTGATTGTTCATCATTAGCTGCACTTTTTGCATGGGGAATTATAGCGACATGCCGGGCCGAGAATGGCGAAAACAGTCAAAAGCCGCGCGAATGAACTTTACGTGAACTTTTACCGCCGGGCAATGTTAATGACGATGGGCTGTTATGACCGTGGCGGTATAAAAACCGAGCGACTTTAGTGCAAGTTGACGCAACTCAAAAACGTTTTCACTGTTGGCATTCGACTAATTTTTGCGTTTTTTAAATTTTCCTACATGATTACGATGGGTTTTATGTGCGCGCTTAATTGCAGGCGTAAATTTGTACAAAACTTCATAAAAAACATTAAAAAACGCAGAAATTATTTTTATTTTTCTAAAAATAATTTTTTTTTATTTTTACATTAAAAAACGTTGAAACAAGATAAATATCGATTTATACTGACATTAACACTTCGATTAATTTACATACAAAACGCGAGGTAATAAAAAATAATTTATTGTTTACATGCACACCCTACGGATCCAAAATTCTATCGGAGTGAATAATGTCTTGATAAGAAGAGTAATGTGTATTCTATGCATGAGACAAACATGTAATTTCATATTGTGGCGACAAATTTAAAAGCCGTGGGCGATACCTATATATATATTTATTTATCTTTATAAATAGGTGAAAGTTATAGTTTTTTCCGCGTGCGTTTGGAGTTTTGACTTGAACCGAGAAACAGTTCAAGGCATTGTGCGAAATATTTCAAAAAAGTAAAAATTTTATTCTCACCGAAATAATTGTGAGATATCTGGCGTAAATTGGAATTTTATGCTAGAAATACTTTTGATCAATTGGAGAAGCTGTATGTAGACTTATTTTTATTATTATTATTATTATTAGATGCTTGGTGTGACCATTAATTTTTTTTCTCTTCTTCTGTTTGGTTTATCGGTAGCCGCGATCTCAAAATATGTTTGAAATGCTTTATTATTGTATTATGCGGCCGGATCGCGAGCGGAATGCATGTGCGAACACATGTAGAACGCGCTTAAATTATTGTTATTGCTTTGAGGAATTACTATTTAAATTTACATAAACATTTCTCTTGGTTCTAATCGTCTAAAATGTGTCCTAAACAATTACGTGTTGCATTTTTTTATTTGTACCGAGAAACGTTATCTAAACTGCTCTAGGAAAGCAAAAATTTATTTATTATTTAATATATTAATTATTTATTATGATATATTTAATTAATATTGTCAAATTGTTCCATTTTTTTGTTGGTGAATATTTTGGTAGTGAGTTATTAACGATTCTCGAATTTCTCGGCGACGAAATTCAATCGATAATTTGTTAATACATTTTTTATTCAAATTGCATCGCCGATAACTATGAATTACAATGTGGCAGAGCAAGGCAAAGACGCATAATAAATTTTGCTGTCGTCGCTGGCGGGCACGATTTATGGAAAATCGATCAATGTAATTGTAAGTTTTCGGTTACCCCGCCAAACTTAAATTAGCATTTAAATGCGAGCATATTTATGCATATAATTATTTTCAATGTCTGCCGCTTATTATATCAATGTGAATTCCTTATTTTCAGGAAACTTCTATGATGCAATGGGCTGACTGACGCCGTCCGACAGTTTCCACAGACTCCAACGTAGACGTAAGTCTGAATTTGAATACGATTCATTGCTGTTTGATGCACTTTTAACCTCAAATTTCATCCTTGCGCACTCACGATTTTCGTCTTTGTTTTGGAGCGACGAAATGTTGTCTCGCATTAGATGCCTGACAAGTTACATAAAGTAAAATGTGTGTGTGGTTGGGTATGGATTGTGATGAAACGCGGCGAGGTTTATTGCGTCCAGTTTCCCATCGCCTTTTTGGTGCAAAATTTTGCTGCGAAATTTCCCGATTTGTTTACGACACGTCGTGCGCGACAATAATTTATTGCTGGATATTAAAGTGAAGGAAAACAGTTAGTTTCGGCGGTATTTTCACTCAAATTTCCTAATACTGCGTAAATGAAAGTTATTGTTGAAAATTCTCAACAAGGAAATCAAATTTACACAATTACAACCAAATTTGTTTTTATTATCAACATTATTATGTTAAATTAGCAAGAATATTCGGAAATGATTTATTGTCATTTTTTTTATTAATGAATGTTTAAAAACATTTTTTCTGCGTTTTTTTCAACGACATTTAACTAAAAATAAGATTTTACATACTTTAGTCACAACCGTGATTAAAGTGACACTTTTTGTGTGTCGAAACAGTGAAAAAAGTTGCGTTTTAAAGGTGGAAGTAGAAAAAATTAAGAGGAAAAGAAAATATAAACCCAAAAATATTAAATCTCTTAATATTTATTAAAATATTATCAAAAAACGGAATTTATTTGATTCTAAACTAATTAGAAATGGCATGAATTTCATGTAGCTCATAACTTTGATGATTTGTAATTCCCTCGCATACCATCGTGCAAAAACGCGCCAGTGACATGGAAATACGCGCAGCGGTTTTCAGTAATTAGCAATTTTCATCGATAATCATCGCTCCTGGACAATTCCGTTGGCGCGCATTAAAACGGTTAACTAACAACGCGCGGCAAGCGCACCAGCCACATGACCACGTCGTCGATCGAGTAAAATATCTTACGATGGGCACGTGCTCTCATTACCACTCCTATGCACACACGCCACCCGAACACTTTTATCATCACTCTTCGCATCCGATCCGTCTTGCAATCGATAGTGATGTAATTGTCCGCGTACTCAACGGTAATTAAACGTTATGCATAAATAACAAATAACTGCGAGCAAATAAATAGCGAAAATTGTCGGTAACTGATAGGTCGATATCTTGGCGATGCTATCGGATGCTGTTTAGTGCGTCTAAATACTCGCACACCTAGTACAACAAGCGTTTAAGCCATCGCAAGACATGCGACGTAATCACAGATTGAGTCGGCGATAATGTTGATTGATTTAATTGACGAGACGACCGCGTGATTGAGGAGTAGTGCGTATTGTCAGCGCAAAATCAATACCAATACCATTACCGCTACCAAACACAAATATTGTGCGAGGAGTAATGATGTGAAGATGAAGAGTTCTTGCATTGCTTCATCTTCATCTTCTGTGCGTTTATTCTTGGAAGTCGAAGTATGAATATGGCATCTGCAAATCGATAAATAACGTGATTAACGAATGGTGACTAATGGCACGACACGCCACATACTTTGGAATATTGAGTGAATTCAATGGAGAATTTAGTTTTTACGACTAATTTTTTTTTATTTTTGCATTGCAAGTCCAACTAACGGATAACCAGGAGGAGTGTTACTCATAAAGTATTTTTGCGTAAATTGTTTTTTGTGATTTCTGTAAATTTGTTACACAGGTTTCAATGTCACAGTACACGATTACTGGTAGTTACGTATGTGCATTATTCATGTTTAAATAGATTCGTTGCGGTTTGGACTAAAGTACATCGATACTTGCAAACAGCAAAATAGCGTATTCGATTTGATTTAATGCAAATCAATCGGTCAGGGCCACTCGCTACCGCAAGAGCGCAAGAAGTCGACGCAAAAGCAATGCGAGCTCAGCTGATTTCGAGCGCCGAGCGTGGCGAGCGATCCAATATGGTGTTTTTACCTTCACCTTTACCTACAACGTGCAGTTTGCATAAAATTAGCGTTATTAAAACTCAGCGAGGCGCGTCCATTCCGGCGACATTGCTCGCTTTTTTCTATCTTCCAATGGTGTTTTATTTATGGACTCTTGGAAAATCAACATTTTTATTGCATCCACCGTCTGCGGTGATGATTAGACAATAAATTAATAAGAAATTTTTCGTTGGAAAAAAAATATTAAACGCAAAATGCAATTTTTGTGGTTTTGACATTTTTCATTTTTTATGTAACTAAAATGATTAATGTTGAAAAGTTTTATTTATTATTTTAATAAAATGTTTACTAATCGCCGCGCGTTTCACACGCAGGTGGATCGTATCGCGCCGAGAAAAAAAAAACGCGATAAACCAATAAGGATTAAGGAGCACTATACCAACAGAAGCCTAAAGTGTTCCTAATAGTGCTACACGTCTCTCACATCTTTCAATTTCAATACGTATTCACTCCGCTGGACATTCGGGTTTTAAATTACGTCCTCGATATTTTAAATTGATTTTTTATCGACAGCGCATATAAAAAACTATCTCTCGCGCTCTGCCTCTATGTGTTATAAATGAATCTTTAATTTGAATTAATGATATTAACGTTTGGAGCTTTTTGACAGTCGCGCATATGCAGTATATGGTATGATTGACTTCGGACATTTCGGTTTCGGGTTTTATTTGATGCGTTTTATTTTATCTGTGTCGTATGTACTGAAGTTTTATATATTTAGCCATAAATGGCGTGCGTATAAAACCAAAGTATTCAGCCAATTAGTGCGAGAGGAAAGTTAATGGGATACATGATGGATATATGTGTATGCTATACACACGCTGGGATTGAGTTTTGTGTTTGTTTAATTTGTTTAATTATGAATTTCGATAATTCCGCCCAAGGGGGGAATTATTTTAAGATTTATTTCGGCGGGCTTAATTGATAGGACATCGATATTTGCAACTGGGAATTATTTAATATTGGGAAGATTAATGAAGTATGTTGAAATGTATTTTTGGTTTATTGGTTTAGATAAAAGAGCAAAAATAATGAGCTTAACTTAATTCATTTAAAAGTAAAAATTGGTAGAGAATTTGGGTTTAACATTCATTCAAAAATTGTAAATCTTGCAATTTTATGTTCAAAGTGATTTTGTTTTTCAAAAATCACTAAAAATAGCGCTTTTTCTCATGAATCGTATGCTCTATTTGTTTATAGATGGCATATGAGTTGCTTTTTGGGTTGCCTACTTGCCGCGCACCCAAATTCAATAAAAACTGCCTAAAAAACACCATAAAACTCTATTTATTTTTGAAGTTTTTCAATTTTAAGAAAATTAATACATCATTGAATAATTATTTTGACTTCTGCCAAAATTTATATAAAAAATATATAAAAATCCTAATATTATGCAACAAAATACACATCTTTTGTTTTCTAGACGTGATTTCAACGCTGTGAATGCAAATAATGAAAATTTATAGTTTTCCAGATTGATTTACACTTTGCGTCTGTATCCCCAGCGACACAGGTCAAAATACGCACGTAAATCTTGCGATTTGCGAATGAAATGCGAAAATAAGTCTCATACACGTGCCTGCAACTTTAAAACTCCACAGCGGTTTAAAGTTGGAAGTCGCTGTTGGTTGTCTCTCGCTGTGCGCTTGACCGCGGACGCGGACAGGTTCGTTAAATGTTAAATGCTACTTGATAAACCGAACGATAATTTCAATGCACATCGACTATATACTGCTGGTACTTACCCGATACTGATACTTACCATGGGCAGGTATAGGCAAATGTCGGTATTATCAATACTTGAGGCACTTCATTGAATATCGCAGTTAATTCAAATGCGACTGGATTAGAAATAGAAAATGCGTTTTGCGCTGAAATTTATTTACACCAACCCATGAGAGTGCTGTCATTTTCAACGGAGATAAACAATAAATGTGCAAATGGGTCTTTGACAGTGCTTACCTATATCAATAGAATATTATTATATATTAAATACTATACTTTATACACGCCTACAACTAAGAGGAACGTGGTTTATTTTTTTCTTAGCGTATGCGCTTTGGTATTTTAATGTATTTTATTCAAAGTAGGTCTGTAACTGTTGATGCTCGCAGAAACATAGACGTATGGGTAGCACCGGTGACATTAATATATTGCCATTTATTTTCATTGCCGTTTCCTCATCCGATAAAGTCACGAGTCTCAGCGAGCTCTCGCCAAGTCATGAGTCAAAACAACGTCGCTTCGAATTTATCGTTCGGCAGCTCGCCGCATTAATTGTGGACTGCCACCGGGAACAAAACCAGAACAATACATTTCTTTTTAAATTAAATTAAATTAAATTTCACAAAATGTTTTTCGGATTTAATTGCTGCATTTTAAAGTGCAAAAACAAGTTATTATAGAAAAGTAATAAAAATTTCACCTTTCAATCGATAAATCTTCATTATATCCGCTTAATTGGCCGTTTGGTAAATTAATTAGTCAATTAAGCGAAGAATTTTTGCGAAAATCAAAAAATAAATGCATTTTTTTGTTTGTATTTTTTTCTATAGAAGTACTAAAATATTTTATTAATTAATTAAAACACATGCGCTAATAAAAATCCCCATTAATTAAAATATCTAACACTAGCCGCTGAGTCAAACCGTTCATAATTACGACATTAAAATCGCTCGACATTACACTGCACAAAAGTGGCGTACAATTAAGCATTTGACATTTGAAACTCTCGATTGCGTGCAAGCCAACAGCCGACAATCAACACCTTGATTGTTGTGGCCATTTAATAATTTAATAAAGTTGATAACGAGCCGTGCGGCGTATGCGCAAAATCATTTTTCATGACTTTCAACTATTGTATATATGGATTTCCTCAAGCTATCATTGTCTGGTTGTATTTCTTGCGTTAATCATAATTAACCTAGGTATCGATGAATAATATCCACGCTTGATTCTAGCCGGCGATATCG